AATTGTTGAAATTAAGTTAATTCAGTTAAATTCAATTAAATCAACAATTTCGCAAACATTTATACCATTAAAAAGTTAACTTAAAATGGAATAGGAATTTAAAAAAAAAATAAAAATGAAATTCTGTGATAAACATAGCCTTAAGCCTGCATAATTTAGATATATTAAATGAATTGAGATTAATTTGGTGGCTTGTGACACAGCCAGAATTATTTTTATCTTAGTCTTGTTCCAAAATACCTTTTCTTATTAAAATTTAGTTTCTTATAACTTTATAAATACTATGCTTTTACATAAAAATGAGTAAATGCATAAAATTTCGGGCAGCTTTATCGTATGAACGTTACAAAACCTATATAGAAATATCACAAATAGGTTTAAAAATTACTTGGACCTGATATCTTATAGAAATACAAGAATATCAAAAATACTTTTAAAGAAATTGATACACTTAAATATAAAGTTTTTTTATAGCTCAATTGTATAAATGTTAATTTTTTTATTTTGTACTGAGAGCATTGGTTAACAATCAGCAAATTATATTAAAATAAAAAAATAGCTTATTGTTTATCAGGATCAATATTGAAACATATATGCATGTTCATGCATTTGATAATTTTATTTTCCAAGTAGAATTTTATCTTGTTTGGATATTTAATAATTCAATTTTCTTTTGCTTAAAATTTTATACAGTTATCTGAAATTAAATTGTTATACACTGAATAAAGAGCAACAAAAGTGTTGCTTAGGTAAATCTTTTCTTTAAAAACCAGCATCTTTGAGTTTGTAGAAAGTATTAGTGCTTTTAACTACAGTGAAATAGAAAATTAAAACTGAGTTTAATATACATTTTGAAACCTGATGCATAGTAATTTATAATCCATTGTCATAAAAGTAATGAAATGTTAAAGCCTAAGAAGCCTTTTAAAAATCTAATCATTTTGTTAGATTTTGAGAAGTAGGCTGGACTAGGAATTCTTCAACATCCTTGTGTATTAGTGACTTGGTGATTGTAAAAGAATTTTACTGTCATTGCCTATTAAAAAAAAGGCTATAGTGATAGTAAATCTTTAAGAATTTTTGTAAAAATGGATATTTTGAGGATTTAAGTGTAGTCGCAGTACAGAGTTAATTTTGTGCAAAAGAAAAAAGAAAATAAAACCATCTTTTTAAATAGATGGTTCAATCATATATGGATATTAAATTTGAGGGACTTGATAATCTCTACTTAAAAAGGTAATAAGAAATTGGAGTTCTGTTTGATTTTAGGTAAATGCTGAAATCTCTGCTGTGACACCACCAACTCAGGTAAATATGAGATTGGAGGGTGAACCCTCCAAGCCCTTCCTATCTTTTTGAAGGATACCTACCTACCTACCTCCTATTTTTATTTTATTTTTTTAAACCTTACCTGTCCTAGCTTTGACTTTGGCATTGCTATGATACACACACACACACACACACACACACAATAATAGAATTAATTTAATAATTGCAAAAGATATGTGTATTTTTATTTTGCATATAGTTTGATCTTTTTGGATTTTTAGTTTATCTATGCAATAATAAAATTATACAAATTTTTAAAATAACAAATTTACTTATGTCATACCAATTATCTTTAGTTGAAATGCTAACCTATATTTTTTAAATTACCCAATTGCTTTACCTGATGAAAAATGCTTTAAAACTGCTTTTTAAATATGCTGCATATAAGCCTAGATCCTTCAGTCCTTATTACAAATATTTGTTAAAATTGGATTAAATTTTATTTAAATAGTCTTTTAGCTTTGGTTAATATATTAATCATAATTGTACCATATCAGGGCAGAAAATTTCTTTTTAAAATTTACAAAGTAAATTGTTAATAAATTTAAACTTTGCAAGTTCCAAAGTATTGCAATTTTCCAATATAAGTTTGACTTTAATATGGATTTTTTTCTTAAACTAATTGTTTCAGGCTTGTTTATATATTCAACAAAATTAATTTTTTAAAAAATTATTTCAAAATATGCTGTTAGAATTTTAATTTTTTTTTATCTCTGTAGAAGAGCTAGTATATTTGATATTAAAAAATTTAAAATGTTTTTTCTCACCTTTTAAGGATTTGTAGTTTAGAAATTTTTTAATTTTTAGTATCTAAATATGCATGAACCAATGCTAAAAAAAAAAAAAAAAATTCAACTTTGGTGTTTGGCATAAATCTTTTTTTTTTTTTTTTTTTAGTAATATTGCATTTTTAGAATTCTTGAAGTTTTACCTATGAATTCTTGAATTGAAAGAAAAAAATATATTTAATACTACTTGAAAATTAATGACTACCAAAATAGTTTTACAGAGTTTATCATATTTTAGTTATTTACTCACTTTTTGTGTATGTACATTTTTGCTTTTTTGTTAATGGTGGTAATTATCTCTACATCCTTGAAGTTTTTACAAATATTATCTCTAGCTAAAATGAATAAAGTTTAAATCTTTAATATTTTTCCACAGTAAGTTTAAGTGTGAAGACCAAAATTTAATGGATGTAATTTATAGAAGCCAAAGTTTCCTTTCAGTATATGCTTGTTTTTGCTGTCATTAAATGTATAATTCCCCACCCTATGTTATGTAGCATGCTAGCACGAGTTTGATAATTGCATTGGTTTATAAACTTGGTTCACTTTTTTCCTTTGACAAAAATATCCTTAATTCCAGTTTAAACTTGAAATTATTAAATTTTTCTTATTTTTTAAATAACTGAAAAATTGAAAGAATGCATCTATTTGACAGCAAACTGATTATCCGTTACCCAATTTTCAGTGTTTCATCAAATATAAGATATATACAAAGCCATAAAAGAAATCCTATATTAAATAATTCATCCCTGAAAGCTGCTTCAGACTAATAATGGTTTTATCAATGTCGATTGATTTTACATTGAGAAATGTTGTGGATACAAAGCTTTAAATTTTTGGCATCCAATCTATCTAGATCAAGGCATTACCTACAATGGGCCTGGCAATCAAGTAACTGGTGTCTGTGATGGGAGATAAACATGTAGATTTAAATTACTACTAAATAAAACAAAACATTTCTATTAAGGAATTTGTAACATCAAATAATTAGTTACATATTAGAATAACCCTTACAACTATAATAATTATAGGTATTGTCTTGATCTAAATGCTTAACCTAGTCAACCTCATTTAGCTTTCTATTGCTATTATTTTTAAATACTCCACATTGTAATAACTAGTTTTGTCAGGTTGTATGATCCAGAGTGTAAATTTACTGTTGAATGTTCTGAAATAGTTCACTTTCAATACACTTTTGCCTTAAATTATTTTCTCTTTTAATTAAAGCTGCTTCTTTAAGTTGAAATTTAAGTTCTAAATTATGGTTTTGATTAAAATGGCATTCTTTAAGCTGAAATTAAGGTATATTCAGTATTTCTGGGTGTAAAATTGTAACCATTGTTTGTATATCCCCTCTTATACACACAGTTCATAAAACTATTATTAATCTTAAGTCCTTGGAATGAAATGTAAAAAAAAAAAAAAAAAAAATTTATTTTTTAAAGTAACTTTTTTCTTTGTAGTATAAAGTATCTTTATGCTTGCAAAGTTAACATGCCTTTAAAAAGGTAAAAATAAGTTACTGTGTATTTTTTCAAATAACTAAATTTAAATTGCATTTTGTTTCTGTATAGATGCAAAGAAAAGATAATCTCTCATATTCTCTAAGACTTCCATTCATAGAAACCAATAAGTTCAATTTTGTCTGCAATTTACATTTAATGTAAAACTATGTACACATTAAAAATAAAAAATACCTGATAATGGTAAAAAAAAAAAAGCCAAAAGTGCTTGGATATACAAAACATTCAGACAATTTTGGCACACTTTGTCCAGAAAAGAAAACTTATACAAACAAAAAATTAAATAAAAAGATTAACTGCAGTACCTTGTCAGTTGGCTTTAATGAAACTTGTATAAAAGTGTGATTGCTGCCCAAATACACACACACACACACACACACACACACACACACACACACACATTCTATTACTTCCCACTTACTAAATTCAATTGGCTTACCTTAGTGATTCACATAAACTTACTATACCCAAGTTAAAGATTACTATTTATTCATTTAAGAACCATCTTAATTACTTTTATGTACAGTATTAATTTTAAGGATTAATTTCTTTGAAAAATATCATGTAACTTAAATTTTGAAAATTCAAAACTGTACTGCTAAAGAAGAAAATAAAGGTAAATTTGGTGATTTAAAAAAAATGAGGCTGATATTTTATGTGTATATTAGGAAATAGGTTAGCTGTTTTGAGTATTGTTTTTTAAATATAAACAAAAATTCAAATTGAAATAGATTGAATATAATCATTAGAAATATAAAATATTTATAATTAGAATTTTGCATTTCTATCTATTTTATACTGTGGGCATTTATCCTACCTACTAGAATGTGAAATAAGTCTTTATAAATATCTGGAAATATATACTTGACCTACTTGGTCTTGGTAAAAAGTGGAATGTCATTGAAGTTCTGGATAGATTTTAAAAATTGTCATGCTCATTGGGCAAATATGTAGAAATTTAGATTTGTGAAACTTTATAATGGATAAATTTTTACAGAATATAAATTTTTAAATTTAATATTTCATAAAAAATAATTGCATATATATTTTTAAACTAATGTGATTATTTTTTAAATATTTCGGTACTTAGGATTCATTTTCATATAAAATACAATGAGTTTTATATTGCACATGTTTTCTTTTAGGAAAATTTCTTTATTGGTCTATCTAATTAAGTGCATACTCTTAACAAGATAAAAACGTTATGGATAAGCAAATGAGATGTAATTCAGCATATTTTAACATTTTTTTTTTTTTTTTTTTTTTTTAAATGCAGCTAGAAAAAAAAGTCTGAAACATGTTTCACTCTTATAAATTTTTTCTACTTTTATAATAGTTTAAATCTTTAACTTTTAACTATCTATAATTTTATATCTAAATTTTTTTAAGTATTGATAGTAGTACTCATCACTTACCAGACTGTATACAAATAATATAAACATTTTCTATTTGTTCCTTATCCTGTCATGTAATATACAGCTTGGATAGCCATTTTTATCAAGCTTAATCTATACAATGGGTTTATTTTTTCGACATATCATAGGAAAGTGTTGTTTGTTATACTTCATAACTTTGTTTTTATTAAAAATAAAGTTGAACAGAATTTCCAGTAGTATAACAACACTGACACAATCTCTTATTCAAAATAATGGGGAAGAAATGTTCAATTTTCAGAAATCTTGTAACTAAAAGGTATGTTAATAATTTTTATACTAATAGTGTATCATTTTATTTACCACTATACAAATAAATTTTAATATTTATAGTTTTAATTTATCCAACTCTTTAAATATTATTTACAATGTTCACTGCAGATATTGTTATTCCCTAACAATTAATTGTCTACTCTATGGGACATAGTCTAATTTCAAAATCTGAAAAATTCCAGAGTCAGGTCTACATTTTTCAGATCAGAATGTGTATCTGGAGTTTGGGAATTGTTGATTCACTCTTCTATTTCTCTCACATTCTCCCCTCTCCCCCAAACATCTTGTAAATTACTCAGAAACATTTTGGCATATCTGAAACTCACTTCGATAATATGGTTCATTTTTAGCATAATTCAACTTTTAATATATAAATCTTGTTTCAATTAAACTTTCTTCAGAAATCTATTTTGTGACATTTCAGTCATTTATGACTGAATTGCCACAAACTTCATTAGTGGTGGTATTTTGCTACAAGATTTCAAATTTCAACAAAATTCCTTTGATATAATTTGAAAAAAATCCATGATCAAGTTTTTATTTCTAAATGTAAATCTTCTATGTACCCATAACACTTATAAAGAATATTTAAAATACTGTTGGTCTTACTAGTGTAAATTAACATAATCTTACACTTTTAATTTGAAAAAATATTACCTTCAAAAATGATTCGTTTGCCTCTCATTGTTCATATGAAATTAAATTCAAATTGCTGACCTGAAATTAATAATACTTGCTGACAGAAAAATTGACTGAAATGATAATGTATAAAAATTGTTTTCATTTGTTATAAATTAACTATGAGTTTGAAATGTCACGAATTTTAACTCTTACAGCTTACTGTAGGGATTATTTATTCTCCTTTTAAATGTGTTTGTTGGTGAACACTTACCGAAATGATTTTTAGCCATATTACAGTATTATAGCTGAATTGTATATATTGAGATATTATTCGTTAAGTCTATATCAATAGTCTGTAAAATTAGGTTGCTTTTACTCAGACCATAAAAGCTGAATTATTTAACCTCAAAATAATTTTCACTTGCATTTTAATTGTATTCATTTCTAAATGTATCAATTTTAAACTATTTTCATCTTTTTGTAAACTCTGCTTTTAAAACTAGGTAGGAACCACTTATCACTGTGAATTAAATGTCTGAATTTGCCTTCTTGCAACTAAATGAATGTTATACTTCAAATGATTTTGTTTATTATGCAACTTTCGCCACAGCATCCAACAATGTTAGAGAAAGTCTTGAATTTATTTGGATTATCACTATTTAATCTTTGTCATATTGTAAACTATATTTCTATTGTAATTTATAAAAACAGAAATTGAGTTCACTATAATGTTAGAAAGAATTTTGTGGTTAAAAGCATTAAAGAGCAAACTATGATTTTCTAAAAATCATATGTGGCTATTTTAGATGTTTCTACTTTTAGTTTTGAAAACCTGTTCAAGAGAATACACAATAAAGAGTTTCTTTGCTTCTCTTATACATACCACTTGGGTTTACTGACTCTCCTAATGATTACTATTTAAGAGAAGTCTTTGATCTTTTATATGAATTCTATAACTTGAAAAATATATTCAAACAGCACTAACTAGGGATTAGTGCTCTAACTTTATTAACTGTGCAATATTGTCTCTAAATCATATTTAAATTTAGAATTGTGTAATATGTGGGTGCATATTTAATTTGGGGTTTTTGCAATAAATTTCTATAAAATGTAATTTACTACAATTATCCTATATAAACATTCAAGTTGTTTGGTTTCTACTGGAGCTACTATCAAACTTATATTGTTCATTTATTACATTGAGTTTTCAAATATTTTTTTTAAAAAAATCTAAAAGTTTTTTTTTTTTTGTTTTTTTTTTTAACCATGATAATTTTTTCTAGTGTTCTGTATCTTGATTAGTTTGTATATTTGCAAGCTGGGAGATATATTTTAAGTGTTTAATTACAAAAACAAAAGTTAAAGACCCTGAATTATATGAAATGACTTAGTAACATCACCCACCTTAGATTTCAAAACTAAATTTCAATTAAAAGTGAGATTTTCTTAGGCTCTGGTGGTAATGACTCCCTAGATTATTGTAAACAATCTGAACATTTCAAATTTTAAACTTTTATTTGTTTAAAGTATGAAAGGGCAGCTTCATAATGTTTGATTCTGTCCCAAGGAAGATCAAATTTTAATAAAGTTCAGTTTTAATCCACTTCAACATCTTACCAGTGCAATTGTAACCCATATATGTACATAGAATTAGACTTATTCTGCATGTGTAATAATCATTTAGAGGATTTGTATAGATTTCACTGTTAATCATTCTTAGTGCTTATTGGTTTTATTGTGCATTATCTTAAAACTATGAAGCATGTTATGAGTGATTTGTGAAAGCATGTTCAAAGTATAGAAAGTATAGTTCAATGTGCTCAATTTAATCCTTGCTTTTATTTTATACTGTTACTAATATAAATCTTTTACATTTTAAAACTTAATTCTAAAAAATTGTTCCATTTTCCTTTTTATTTGCTAGATATCAAATCTTTTGAAGTTGTATATCTAAAATCAGAAAATATTTTACAGTAGATTTTATAAGATTAATTACTACCTACAATTAAAATAGGAAAAAAATCTGGTAAAAGTATTCTATAGCATAGTTTTTTTCTACTTGTAAAGTTTGTTCACTCATAATTGTATCAGTTGTAAATTTAGCATTTTCAAAGATTTTATATAATCTAATATTAGTGTGTTCCTATATAATTTGTAAATATTATAAAGTGTATCAAATTTACTTACAGAGCTATATTGTACTACTAGTTTCCCTATTAGATCTGTGCAATTACATTTAGTAACTATGTAGTAAAACTTTATTTTTTTTATATATTGTATCTTTTGGGGTATGTATTATCTTTGATAAATTTTTCATGTTAGTGATATCTCGGGATTTAGCCTCACTTGTGTTCATATTTGTCTGTAAAAGTATATTTTCAGCTTGTTAACAGTTTCTCATTTGGGATAAAAATCTGTTATATGATAGTTTAATACTATTCAGTTATTTCTTTTTTTTTTTTTTTTTTTTTTTTAAATCATAGACTTTGGAGTCTAGCAGCAGTTTTTGAATTAATTTTTCTTTTAACTTAATTTTGCCATAATATCATAAATGAAAAGGGGACTTGGAAGTTAAAATTTGAACTACTATAAAAATTACTTAAGCATGAATTGGACAAATGGATTTTTCTTTCTTTGAATAGTTACAAACTACTTACAGCTACTATTCATGAAAATGAGAAATATAATTAAATTTTCAAGCTAAATAGTAAGGCATTAAAACCCTTAAAATATTAGCAGTAGTAAATATAAACTGTAACAGACTAATCTGTAAATAGCATGAAATATTAAAGATTTGTAAATCTACTTAGCATTGTATTCTGTCCCTGCTCAATATGAAACTTCATTTTAAAGATTAATTTTCAATTTGTCTCAGACTTCTATACAGCATAAATCTTTATGCATAATACTGAATTTAATATATTTTATTTCCTTTCTTAGCAAAACCGTGTAGTTGGAGCCATGCAGCTTTATTCTATGGAACGGAAAGTGAGTCAACCTATTGAGGGTCATGCTGCAGCTTTTGCCCAATTCAAGATGGATGGAAACCAAGCTCCCTCTACGTTGTTTTGTTTTGCTGTTAGAGGAGCACAAGGTGGAAAGGTGATAACATTTTTTATATTTAGATATTTCTGTAGCATGATTTTTATGAAACCTTAATAGGTGCTTATAGTGAAATATAATTAAAAATAGTTGATTTGTATGTTCTTTTTAATTTGTTTCTCTAGGTTTCTTTCAGGGTTACCATAATAGATTGTGTGTATTTATACATACACACCCTTCTTTCTCACTTGAATTCTAGATCTTACAAAAAATAAATTTGAATTTTTCTGTTTTGATATATACATAAATAAATATTTGATATGGTTAAAAAAAAAAAAAATAACTTCTTTATAAATAAATTTTGCCTGTAATCATTGACTTTAGGTGCTTGAATGTTGATAAGATTTATGTTCTCAATACCTGAGCTGATTCTCTTATTCTGAATAAGAACTGTATAATTATATCCTCAGTTCAGAAAGTGATTCTCTCTCTCCTGTTTCAACTTTTAAATAACTGGTAAGTTGGTCAAGTGTAATTTATTTCTGTATAATTTAAATGAAATTTTCTTACATTTTTGCATTTTTGTAGTTACATATTATTGAAGTGGGCCAACCACCTCAGGGCAACACTCCTTTCACCAAAAAAGCTGTTGATGTCTTTTTTCCTCCAGAAGCACAAAACGATTTTCCTGTTGCCATGCAGGTTAGTTTTGTTTTTGTCCTAAATATAAGGTTATTTGGAAAAAGAAAAGCAAGCAGTAATCACATGCTACTAGTGCATAATCAATTTCAGGAAATATCTTTATATTTACATTTTCTGAATACAATATACTGTTTGAATAAAATATTTTGATGTTATAAAACCAATATATTTTAAAATTCAAAATTGACAGATGCATATATATTATGTAACTGTTATATTGATGTGATTACATTAACAAATCTGCACATCCAATACTGAAGCTATTTAAATTAGGATTGCTGTTAATAGAGCAACATTTTAAAATATTAAGAAAATTGCAATAAATTTTGTTTAATGAGTGTAGTATGATTATAGTAAGTCAAAACAATGTTGATAAAGGCAATTATCAGTGAATGTGGCATGAAAAATCCAATCTTTTGATTGGCTGATAAAAGCAGTGGTATTGAGTTGGAACAACAGTTTATAGTCTTAAGTGAGTTTTAAAGACAATAGATTTATTCAATCTCATATGCCATTTTGTTCTACTGCATTGTGCCATCTTTGAAATAGGTTGATGATTCTAGCTACCTAAAGCTTAGCATCTTTCTGGGCGATAAATCAGTCTAAGTAGTTTTTACAGACTTCAAGAGAATTGAAGTTCCCATTTAAGAGAAATTGTAGGGACGTAAGTGGTAATTAAAAGTGAAGGTGAATATGGCAAGCATTGTAGGGCATCCCAGTCAAGCTGTACTAATTACTGCTGGTATTGCAAAGAGATATTGTCATGATGGAAGAAACAATTCTGAACTGCTGACTTTAATCAGTTCAAGTGGGAACACTACTCATCTAAATTGTTTGATTTTTGCATAAGCTCATAATACACAATGCCCTTCCAATTGCACCAGGTACAAATCATCACCTTGGTTTTTGAAGTGATGAATTATTTCATTTTCCCTAGGACCTTTTTCACTCCACATTGTTGTAAATGCATTTTTGCCTGTGATCTTTTTTTTTTGTTTGTGCAAAGATGTTCATTGAAATTTCATTTGAGCACAGATGTTCATTGAAATTTCTTGTTAAATTGTGGCATCTAAACATTGTAGAAATTCATGTATCCAAGTGTTTTCAAGTGCTTACAATGCTCATATAAGATATGCAACGTATCTCTGTCGTATTGTTATGATTTAAATTATTTACAATCAGCATTTTAATTTGGCCATCAACTACAGGCTAGTATATTTTTGGTCTTCCAGATCAAAATGTCCACTTCTGAACCTAGCAAACCACTTTTTTTTTTACTTTTTTTTTTTTTTTTCTTCTCCTTTCCTTTTCTGGATATAAATGCATCCCATTTTCCTCCATTTTCACTTGTAGTATGAATCCATTCACAATCCACACAAATCATACAGAAAGTTCTTTCAATCAAGTCTGAAACAAAATCATCTGTTCCAACCTCACCTATTGAAAAATACTACAAACTTTTGTTTCAATGTAATGTAGTTTTAATTTTAAATCAAACCTATAAAAGTGAATTTGATTTTTCACATTACATTTTATCTTTTTCCATATGCCTTCGAATATAAACTATATCATAAAGTGCACTTGCTAAGAATATTAACTTTTTGTGGTGTTATTTTTAAAATTGTTGTGTAATCTTCCAAAGAAATATTAATAAATTTAGAATTAAGTGTAGATATATTTGAAATTTATAATCCCAATTTGAGATTTTCATTATTACTATGAAATGATTGGGCAGGCTAGCATATTTTTTTTTCATAATATTTTCCCTTCTCTTTCTCCAGACCAGCAACAAGCACAATGTGATTTTCCTAATCACCAAGTATGGATACATCCACTTGTATGACATCGAGACCGCTACCTGTATCTATATGAACAGGATAAGTGGTGACACTATTTTTGTTACAGCACCTCATGAACCAACCAATGGAATAATTGGAGTCAACAGAAAAGGACAGGTAATAAAATCGTTTTTTCATATATGAATATATCCATTTTTAACAATTTTGAATATTAAAAACATCAGAACTTAAATTTTTCTCATGGTCAACAGTTGTGACACACTGCCTTTTGAATTTAAATCCAAATATTTATATGGGCTTACATCACATTGAAACACCAGTTCTCATATGATCACTGAAGTTAAGCAACATGAAGCCTGGTCAGTACTTAGATGGGTGACCAGTTAGGGATACCAGGTGCTGTATCCTTGGATGTGCAGGTGATGTAATAGATAACGGCTCAGAATTAAAAATCAAAGAGCCAAGTGGCAATTCCAGTTGGGTTCATTATATTCACTTATGTGCAAATACCTTTGGGGAATGTGTGAATCCACCTATTCTCCTTCAGCTATGGGTTAATTAGTAGAACTTGTATCAGTAAAATCATTATCACCAAAAAAATTTTTACAACCTAAAAATACTTCCTGGCTTTCAAGCCATAAAAAGCAAATCAAACAACCAAATATTTATAGCTTCTATATATAATTTGAATTTTTTTGTATTACAGGTACTGTCTGTCAGTATTGAGGAAGAGAATGTTGTTCAGTACATAACAACCACCTTGCAGAACCCTGACTTAGCTCTGCGACTAGCATCCCGCTGTAACCTACCTGGAGCTGAAGACTTGTTTGTACGAAAGTTCAATAATCTCTTTCAAAATGGACAGTATGCTGAGGCAGCTAAAGCAGCTGCCGGAGCTCCCAAGGTAGTTAGCATTTGGGTTTATTTCATTAATACATAACTAATAGTTAGAAAATTTGTTATCTATTTTTTTACCAATTCTGTATAAATGTTTTTAATAGCTTCAGCCTGGAAAGAATATTTCCCCAAAATTCCCAAGAATAGCACTTATTCTATCCAAATTATTTAGTGTGTGTGTGTAATATATATATATATATATATATATATATATATATAATGAAGTGACTCTACTCTCTTTTGCAATTTGCATTTGATCCACCTTCAGCTTCTGTGGCTACACTCAAATCCAAAGATGGATCAGTGTTAATAAAAGATTCTAAGGATATCATGAAGTGGTGACATCAGTATTCAACAGATCTGTTTTTTGACCTCTCAACAGTAGATGAAACTGCTATAGAAAGTATACCACAGTGTGACATCACGGATTTAGATGTTTTTACCATCTAAGGAAGAAACTATCCTGGCCATTATTCAGATTAAGTGCCAGGGATGGATGGCATATCAGTGGGACTACTGCAGTATAGACGGGAAAATGTGAATTCATATGTGCATAGCTTTATTTGTGAGTGTTGGGACTCACTGGATTAATGGAGGCACGCCAAATCTAAGACCTTCAGTATCCTTGTGCATAAGCTACTGTATGCTGATGATGCTGACTTTGTCACACATTCTGAGAGGGATATACAGATACTGATGGACTGTTTTTCTGCTATTGCGTTTGGACTGACCATAAGTAATGTTCACTCCTTCAAGTATGTGTATTTTTTAAAAATATGATTCCACTGCTACATAAGAGTTTTCATGTTTCAAAAACAGAAGCTAAAAACTTTAATTTAATTCATAGAAATTAAATTAAATTAAAGCAGCTAGTTCTGTTTCATCCTCAAGCAAATTTTGGAATAACTAATTTTGAAATTTACAGAGCTTTATAAGCATGTACATTTGTAATTTTAATTTCTCTGGATATCGAGAAAATTAATCATTTTAATAAGAGACAGTAGGGGTATTCATTTTCACTGACAACTATTGTATCAACATATTAGTTACTTTAGAAAAGAGGTTAAGTCAAGGTAGGGTCGGGTGCTTTTTTTTTTCTTCAAACGAATGATGACATCCATTCAACGTGGCAAACATGTTTTTTTTTTTTTTGTTTTATATATATATATATATATATATATGTGTACACACACACACACACACGTTAAGAACATTTTTATGTTTATACATTCTTTTTATAGATACAAATATTTAAGTGCTCTGTTTATAATAAACAGTATTAATAACATTTTTTTCATAGAAAATATTCATCCTTCAACGGGAATCCACCTGTATCCTATATGGAACTCTCATATAGCCTGACGTGCCTTAACCGATTGAGCCACAGAGGATCGTTCGATTAGCAACGTCGATTTTACTGCTTTTAAAAGTACAATCTTCCATGAATCTCTCACGTACATTCATATCTGCTCAAAACGTATCCAAATGTAAACAAATGATGTCACACATTATGAAATTAATTAAAAACAAAGGGCATTTATAAGAGAACTGATGTGTAATCAAGAAAATTTGACAAAGCAAATATCACCTACAGGTTACAAAATTAACAAACATATAAAATTTAACTAATATTTAATCTAGTAAGGAACTACTATTTATATGTCCAAAAACACACGTAGATACACACATACACAACAACATATCTATATCTACTCACACATACATATACATGTGCATGCACACACACACATATATATATATATCTCAATACACATACACTCATGCATACACATAGACATACACATTTGCACATAAACATATCTACATAAAACCTTACACACATCCATACATACATTATATATATATATATATATATATATATATATATATATACACTCATCTAAACAAATATACAACATATCTATCTATATATACACACACACACACACACATATATATATATATATATATATATATATATATATATATATATATATATATAAAAAGTAAAAAAAAAAAACACACATCCATACATACATTTAACATATAAAATAGATGGGTAGAATTAAACTAAAAAAAACTGAGGAAGAAAACATTAATAATATTAAAAACCCAAGGAGTGATTAATGCGTATATATCTCTTAAGTCTACATATATACCTAGATATATAAAAATATCAAAACTATCAGATTTAGTATATCAATTATTTAGGAAAACTTTTTACCTCCATACCCACATACACGTATACCAACACATGAATAAAGTTTGCTAACACAAATGGTCAAGAAAAACATATAGAGCACCACATAAACACAGACAATGATATATATAGATAATCATAAGTCATTCCATTTAAATATCATGTACGATGTTAGTGATCCAAGATGGAACTGTTATAGGTAACAACATATAAAACTGTTCGTTTTAAAGCGTTTTTTTATTTCTACATTTGGAAATGATTTCACTACGAAGATTCAGCAGCTCATCTTGATTTTTATCTTTAATAATAAAATCTTTTTCCACAATGCATAGATCACACAGATCGCAGAAGTTATTAGGAGTTCTTGCTCTTGATAAGTCCCCATTCAAAATG